AGTCGCTTGGCCAACTCTCCTTGGATTTTGTCTCCATGTGAGAACAAGCCTGAGCCAGCTTGCTGGAAGACGAGAGGCAGTTCTGGAGCACCGAAGGGTCAGCCGTGTTGTTCCAGCCGAGGTCTTGGGAGGGGACCCAGGTGGGATGAGCCGAGCCGGCAGTCGTACCACAGCTGACCACGGGCACATCGGTGAGTCCTGCTGTGCCTGGCATAGAGCAGAAGAGCTGCCAGTTTGACCTGTGGACATGAGAACAGTGATCAATGGTGGTTAGATAAGCCACTGAATTTTAAGGTGGTTTGTTATAAATCGTTACTGTGGCAATAGATAATTGATACAGGACTCATACTGGACTAGGCCATTGGTTGTACAGAGCCAATGGCCACATACTTGTACATTCCTACCAAACCATCTCAGACCCCCAGTGGGTCGTGTGGGCAGAGAAAGGGGCCAGAGGAGGGCGGGGAGACTGGATCCCACCCTGAGGAGGTGCACATGAGTTCACCCAGAGGAGAGCGTGTGTCACTCTGGAGGGGGTGTGTGTGATAAGACACGGTCTCCCAATTTCTCCCTTTTCAAAGAGGGGAAAGTCGGGTTTAAAAAAACTGGTGGGAAAGGGGCAGGAGAAGGCAGGGTAGGCAGGACTACAAAGCCTAGGGCAGGTTCATGGAGGGAGGAGAGGCTGTGCCAAGTGACAAGGTCAGAGCTGGGTGGCCACAACCCTGAGCACCCACTGAGGAGGCTGATTTGGACAGGCTGAGCCAATCCTCAAAGGGCTGACTGGTGGGTTAGGACTGCCCATGTCTCCAACCAGACGGTGGACACCACACACACACACACACACACACACACACACACACACACACACGGGGGGGGGGAGAGAGAGAGAGAGAGAGAGAGAGAGAGAGAGAGAGAGAGAGAGAAAGAGAAAGAGAGAACATGAATGGGACAGAAGCACATAGCACCTGTTATTTAAAAACACTTTTTGGGGGGAAACACTGTTACAGTCTAAATGAATCTGCAAGAAAAGTAAAAAGGATGCCTGTTTCCTGTTACCTGTATTCACCAATTGCTTGCATTTTGTCTCATTTTCTTTATCTCTCTTTCTATATGTATTTAGTACTGTTATGATTATTGCTGTCCCCCTTAAGAGAAAGTGTGGGTATCATGACCCTTCACACACCTACATATTTCAGAGAATATCTAAAAACAAGCGCCTTCCCCTCCATATCCAAGTATAATAATGAAAATGAGGACAGTAAATACAATACCGTTATCTGACATAGAGTCCGCCTTCTAAGTTCATCCATTGCCCCAGCAAAGGCCTTTAAAGCACTGTCCCCTGAAAATACAGTATCCAGCTAAGAAACGAGGTAGCCTGATCTTCTCCTCTCATGGGGGACAGTGTGTCAGCCCCGTGCCCCACTTGTCCCTTTGTCTTTCACACAGCCATGCTGTTGAGTTGTTTAGGCCAGTTGCTTCGTAGAGTGTCCCTCCATCTGGGTTTGTCTGACTGTTTCCTCCTGGTGATATTCAGGTTCTGCACTTTGGGCAAGTATATTGGATACCTGAGATTGGGTGAGAGCATCCTTTCAGACTGTGGAGCGTGTGTCCTGGCCATGGTAAGGCTGTGTCAGCACCAGCTCACACATCACCCTTCTAGAACCTCTTCCTGCCCCAACAGGTTTTCTTCTTCGTGTTCATTCAGTAGCGCGATGTAGTTACGAGGCCAGGTTCTAGAGCGAGTTCCAACACTTACCCTGTGTCCTGGGGTCCATCCCTTAACCTCTCTGAGCCTCACTTTCCTCAGTTTTTCAATGGGGGTAATAGTCCCTACCGCCTCTTATGGTTGTTATCTGAATTAAATATATGTAATGCATTTGGACCTGAAATAATGTTTGCAACAGTTAGTAATGTGCGATAGTATTTAGTTAGTATTTCTGACGCCTTCACTTGCAGGAGCATGGTAGCATTGCACTTCCTGTCCCCTTGAAGGTGGGTGCATGGGATTAGTCCTGGCTGGTGAGTTATCTGCAGAAATCATGGGTGTCACTTCCTGGGCCAGAGTATGTAACTGTAGGGGTAAGACTCCCCCTAAATTCTCTTTCTGGCACAGTGACCAGCAACTTTTGAGATGGTGGCTGCTTCGTTTGCTGGGGTCTTATTGTAACAATCATAAGCAAAGTCACCTCCTCTTTCCCTCCCCCTCCACCCATGCTAACTTTACAAGGAACGGTAGCATGAACAAGCAATGAAGCTTGGCCGCCGAGATCATGGGTTTGTTTGTTACTGCAGCATAAGCTGGTTTATCCTGACTAATACAGTGCTACATGAATGGGGGACGTCGTCACCATCATTATTATTCTTAATATTATCATCATGATTTCCTGCGCTCGTCTCGTGCAAAGCCTTTCTACTGTGTTGTGATGACCTGTGTAGATTCTAGCTCTCTCTTCCTGTCCCTGACTGTGAGTTTCTCAAGCACAGGCTCTATCTCTTTCTGTCTCTGGGACCCAAAAATCCTAGCTCAGCCAGTCCCAGACTCCGTGCTTAGTGTTCAATGAGTGATTGTTTAAATGTCACTTGAGACGTCTGAGTTATAAGTAGCTTTAATTTGATTTCAGCATTTTTAATTGCACAAACAATATTGTGGCAACAGCCATAAAACTAAAAGACCAAAAACAAAAGTCATTTACCATCCTTCTGAATTTAAGGGCTCATCCATGCTTGCTCTTGTCTGCCCTCATGAATGTATGGTTTTTACACTTGCACTGTCAGCCAGCTAGCGTCTTGTATCCTGCTTTTTTCTCCACTTAAAATACTATCAGAAGGCCACATTTCCGCAGAGTTTATGAGTCCTTTATTCTAGAGGTTGCACATATTTCATGGGGTGGATGGGCCCCTGTGGCTTAGAGGGGCTTTCATTTTTTTTGACATTGAAACGTTTCCCAATTCTTTGCTATTTCAGCCAAAGCTACCATGAATGTCTTGTCCATGGGGCTGACCCCTTTTATTTGAATACAGCTTCCCAGCATGGTATGCTGCCCCCCCACCCCACCTCAGTAAGAAAAATATAATGGAGCCATTTAAGGGACTGCTTCCATCACTAAACATTGAATCAGGGTATTAAAGTAAGTTCTGCCACTTTGCCTAAATTGTTCTTTCTCACCCAACGAGCCGTCTCCCCATCTTTTGAGCCCTTGACCAAAATAGTCTTGAGATTTGCTGTTCCTTGTTTTTATGTGGAGCAATGGGGGACTTGACACCATTTCATGCCCAGGTCAGTGTAATGCTGTTCCTTCTAATTGGCGCCATTCTTTGCTTTCTTCAAGTGCTTCCCATTCTCTTCATTCTCACCTCTGGCATTAGCAGTTGGGCAAGGGGTCCCTGGGACTCTTTGTTGGAGGAACAAGATTTTATCTTTTTATGAGAATTATCCAGTGTGAGTGAGTGCGTAGTCAAGACGCGCATCCTGGGGGTGCTGATCTGAGGACCTTCTCTCCTTGTCAGAACATGCAAACCCACCCCCTTCTGGTGAAATTGTGCAGAGGATTTCAGAGGAGTGTCCTGAAATTGATGTAACCACGTGCTCACCGGGGACCTTTAGTCCGTTTCCAGCTTCTTTGGATTACAGCTGACAAATGCTGCTGTGAACATCCTGGGGTGTGTCTTGGGGGGCATGTGAGAGCATTTTAGTAAGATGGAGACCTAGAAGGGAAATCGCTGGGGTCAAGTGCAGTAGATCTTACATTTGGTATATGCTGCAAAGTTGTACTCCCAACAGACTGCCCTAATTTCCACCACCATCCCGAGGGCCTGTTTGCCGGAACCTTCACCCATCCTGGGCCTCCTTGTTCTCCTATGGGCCATCCTGCCAACTAGCTTTGTTTCTCTGGGTCACTGTCAAGGTGGGACAGAGCTGCTAACAGGGACCTTTGTGTATCTGAAGGCTCGTATATATCACAGAAGGTCAGAGTCGGAAAAGCCTCTGAGACCACCCCGTCCAGTTTGCTCACTGTTGGGATGGAGGAACTGAGTCCCAGTGAGGACGAGGGATTCCTCCCAATGCACAGCATGTTAGGGGCAGCCTGGGACTCGAACCCAGGTCTCCTCTCTTTGCTTGGAGGATCCTTGATTCCCCTTAGGACAAGCATCTCGGCAGTCTATCCAGATTGATATTTTTGTGAGTGGTGGTAGAGCACGGGCTCCAGAGTCCAGTGGCTTGGAGTCAAATTCCAGCTGTCATTTAGAGCTGTGTGATTTGGGGCAAGTTGCTGAACTCCTCTGAACCCCAGTGTCCTCCTCTGTAAAATGGGCTCGAGCAGTAGCACCCATCTTAGGGGCTATTGTGGAAACTGACTGAGTTCATACTTGTGGGTCACATGGTAGAGCAGGGTCTGCCCACTAAGGATTCAAAACATGAATCTTGCTCTGGAGGGAAAACACTGTTCATGCAGCCTTAACCCTGCTGGTGCTTACCCCATGTCATGCACTGTGCTGGGGCACAGCGATCAGAGATCGTGAGAAAGGTTAGGGATCACCAAGTCCAAGGTCATGAATATTTACTCCTTGTTTTCTTCTAAGAGTTTTATACTTTTACCTCTTACACAGAGGGCTTTGATACATTTTGAATAAATTTTTGTATATAGTGTGAGGTAAAGGTCCAACTTCATTCTTTTGCATGTGAATATCCAGTTTTTCCAGCACCCTTTTTTGAAAAGGCTATTCTGTCTCCATTGGATGGTCTTGGCACCTTTGTTAAAAACTAGTTGACCTAGCTGTATGGGTTTATTTCTACAGTCTCAATTCTATTTCATTGCCTTATATGCCTATCATTATACCAGTACTACACTGTCTTGATGACTGTAGCCTTGTAGTAAGTTTTGAAATCAGGAAGTGTGAGTCCTCCTACTTTGTTCTTCTTTTCCAAGATTGTTTTGGCTGTCCACTGTGGTCCCTGGTGATTCTACATGAATTTTAGAATCAGTTTTTCAATTTCTGTCAAGAAGTCATCGGGGGTTCTGATGGTGATTGCATTGGATCTATAGATAATTGGGGGTAACATTGCCATCTTATCAATGTTACGTCTTCTAATCAATGAACATGAGATGCTTTTCCAAGTATTTAAATCTTGTTTAATGTCTTTCAACAATGGTTTGTAGTTTTCAGTTTGCAAGTCTTGCACATCTTTTGTTAAATTTAGTCCTACCTATTGTATTCTTTTTTACTGCTATTGTTAATATAATTGTTTTAAAATTTTTATTTGTGGATAGTTCACTGCGGGTACATTGTCATACAATTGATATTTATATATTGAGCTTGTGTCCTGCAACCTCACTGCACTGCCTTGTTATTTCTAAAAGCTTTTTAGTGGATTCCTTAGGACTTTCTACATGCAAGATCATGTCATCTATGAACACAGATAGTTTTACTTCTTCCTTTCCAATCTGGATGTCTTTTATTTCTTTTACTTGCTTAATTGCCCTAGAACCAGTGCAGTGGTGAGTAGAATTGGTGAGAACAGACATCCTTGTCTTGTTCTTGATCTTGGGGGAAATGCATCCAATCTTTCACCATTAAGGATGATGTGAGCAGTGGGGTTTTTATAGATGCCCTTGAACAAGTTGAAGCAGTTCCCTTCTATTTCTGGTTTGCTAAGTGTTGTTTTATTTTTATTATCATGAAAGGGTGTTGAATTTTGTCAAATGCTTATTCTGTGTCAGTTGAGATGATCATGTGATTTTTTTGTTTTTTATTCTATTGATATGATGTATTACATTAACTGATTTTCAGATGCTGAACCAACCTTGCATTCCTGGGAAAAACCCCATCTGGTCATGGTGTGTAATTGTTTTTATAAGGTGCTGTATTCAGTTTGCTAATATTTTTGTTGAGGATTTTTATATCCATATTCATAACAGATATTGGTCTGTAGTTTTCCTGTGATAGTCCCTCTGCCTTTAGCCTTCTGAGAATTCCTCAGAGTTGGGCCAAATTATCCGCTGCCCTCCCCCTCAGAAGGGTACCAGAGCATCTTTGCAAATATCTACGCAAATGCCTAAGGAGACAGGACCCACTGACATTGGTTGAGTGTTGGGACCTCCTCATGTATTCTGTCATTTGACCCTTTCAGCTCCTGTTGTGAGTGTTATCATTTATGCCCATTGTACAGTTGGGAAAACTGTCCATGCTAGATCTATGGATGTCCCCCAGGACAGATGCTTTTGATGACATCAGATTATATAAAAAATGTGCAGTGGACTGAATATTTATGTACTCCCCAAATCCATATATTGAAATCCTAACTCTCAAGGTGATGATATTAGGAGGTGGGGCCTTTGGGAGGTGATCCCTCATGAATGGGATTAGCGCCCCTATAAGAGAGGACTCAGAAAACTCCCTTGTCCCTTCCACCATGTGAGATTACAGTGAGAGAACTGCTGTCTGTGGACCAGGAAGTGGCCTCTCACCAGAAGGTTGATCTTGGACTTCCAGCCTCCAGAACTGGTGAGAAATAAACTGTTGTTATAAGCCACCCAGTCTATGGTGCTCTCTTATAGCAGTCTGACTGTGTTAGATAGGATGTATAGTCATATTTATTTTACTTTCTTGTTTTATTTCA